CATTCCGGTGGCCCCCCCCCCCCCCCCGTGTTTGGGGTCCCTGGGGCTGCCCCGGGACGTTTTTGGGGGACAGAATTCCCCTCTTGGCCATTTTGGGAGCTGCTTTCCCCATTTTCCCCCATTTTTCCCCAGGCTGGTAGGAAGGAGTTTGTGGTTGCTTGTGTCTGCTTATTGACAGACAGACAAAGGGCCAGAGAACGCTGATCCCCAGGGCTGATGGGTTGTGGAGAGACGGAATTCCGTGTTTCGCTGCAGCTCCCACTCCAGACATCCCCCAGCTCTGCTCTTCAGCCTCCATCCAACAGATCCCATTCCCACCAAACAGATCCCATTTTCCCCCATTTTTCCCCATTTTCCCCTCATTCTTTTCCCCATTTCCCCCCATTTTCCCCCATTTTTCCCCATTTCCCCCCGTTTTCATGTTTTCCCCTGTTTTTCTCTTTTTTCCCCCTTTTCCCCCATTTTTCTCCCATTTCCCCCCTGTTTTTCCCCATTTTTCTCACATTTCCCCCACTTTTCTCACATTTCCCCATTTTTCTCACATTGTTTCCCCCCCTTTCATTTTTCTCCCATTTCTCCCCATTTTTCTCACATTGTTTCCCCCGTTTTCCCCATTTTTCTCACATTCCCCCCCGTTTCTCTCACATTTCTCCCCATTTTTCTCCCATTTCTCCCCATTTTTCTCACATTGTTTCCCCCCATTTTTCCCCGTTTCTTTCCCATTTTTCCCCATTTCTCTCCCATTTCCTCCCGTTTTTCTCACATTGTTTATCCCTGTTTTTCCTCCGTTTTTCCCCGTTTTTCTCCCATTTCTCCCCATTTTTCCCCGTTTCTCTCCCGTTTTTCCCCGTTTTTCTCACATTTCTCCCCATTTTTCCCCGTTTCTCTCCCGTTTCTCCCCATTTTTCCCCATTTTTCTCCCATTTCTCCCCGTTTTTCTCCCATTTCCCCCCGTTTTTCTCACATTCCCCCGTTCCCCCGTTCCCAGCGGCTGGAGCGCTGCGTTGCCGTGGTCACCTCCCTGACCAGCGGGCTCTCGGAGCGCGAGGCCAACGACGCCCTCAACGCCCACGTGAGTGCTGGGAAATGGGAATTCCCAGTGGGAAAATGGGGATTCCTGCTGGGAAAATGGGAATTCCCAGTGGGAAAATGGGGATTCCTGCTGGGAAAACGGGAATTCCTGACGGGAAAACGGGAATTCCCAATGGGAAATGGGGATTCCCAATGGGGGAATGGGGATTCCTGCTGGGAAAATGGGAATTCCTGATGGGAAAATGGGAATTCCCAATGGGAAAATGGGAATTCCCAATGGGAAAATGGGAATTCCCAATGGGAAAATGGGGATTCCCAGTGGGAAAACGGGAATTCCTGACGGGAAAATGGGAATTCCTGCTGGGAAAATGGGAATTCCTGCTGGGGATTCCCAATGGGAAAACGGGGATTCCCAATGGGAAAACGGGAATTCCCGACGGAAAACTGGGAATTCCTAATGGGAATGGCAATTCCTGCTGGGAAAACGGGGAATTCCCAATGGGAAAATGGGGATTCCTGACAGGAAACTGGGAATTCCCAGTGGGAAACTGGGAATTCCTGCTGGGAAAATGGGGATTCCCAGTGGGAAAATGGGGATTCCCAGTGGGAAAATGGGGAGGAATGGGAATTCCTGCTGGGAAATGGGAATTCCTGCTGGGAAAATGGGGATTCCCGATGGGAAACTGGGAATTCCTGCTGGGAAAATGGGAATTCCCAATGGGAAAATGGGGATTCCCAATGGGAAAATGGGGATTCCTGCTGGAAAACTGGGAATTCCTGCTGGGAAAATGGGAATTCCTGCTGGGGATTCCCAATGGGAAATGGGGATTCCTGCTGGGAAAATGGGGATTCCCTGCTGGGATTGAGAATTCCCTGCTGGGAAATGGGGATTCCCTCTGGAAAGCTGGGAATTCCTTGCTGGAAATGGGAATTCCCTGCTGGGAACTGGAAATCCTGATGCAGGCCTCATTCCCATAAAATTCCCCCCAAAATTCCTACGTGAGGGAGGGAGAGCTTTTCCCCTGGGAGAGCTTTTCCCCCTAAAACAACCCCAGGATGTCTGAGATTCCCGGGATTTTGGGGGGGATTTTCCCTTCCCTCCCTCCCTCCCTCCCTCCAATCCCAGCTGGAATCCACCTGGAATTTTGGGAATTTCCCCCCCCAGATCTGCAAAGGGACCCCCCAGCACGAGGAGATCTGCCTGGGGCTCTTCACCCTCGTCCTGACTGACCCAGCCCAGGCGCAGAAGGTGAGAAAAACCTGGGAAAGGGGAGGGAATTTTGGGGAATTTTGGGGAGCCCTGGCCTGTGGAACATTCCAGAATCCCGGAGCTGCAGGGCACAGGCAGCTCAGCTCCCTCCCATCCCAGCAATTCCTGGGATTTGGCCCTGCCAGGCACATCCTGGTTTGTTTTTTTGGTTTTTTTGGTTTTTTTTTCCAAGGGTTTTTCCTGGTTTTTTTCCTCGCCCTGGGACACCTGGAGTGAGTTTTTCCTGCGTGGGATTCCTCTGGAATTCCTCCCCTGGAGGAGCTGCTTCCACACCTGGGATCCCCAATTCCTGGGATTCCCAATTCCTGGGATCCCAAATTCCTGGGATTCCAATCCTGGGATCCCCAATTCCTGGGATCCCCAATTCCTGGGATTCCCAATTCCTTGGATCCCAAATTCCTGGGATTCCAATCCTGGGATCCCCAAATCCTGGGATCCCCAATTCCTGGGATCCCCAATTCCTGGGATCCCCAATTCCTGGGATTCCAATCCTGGGATCCCCAATTCCTGGGATCCCCAATTCCTGGGATCCCCAGTTCCTGGGATCCCCAATTCCTGGGATCCCCAGTTCCTGGGATCCCCAATTCCTGGGATCCCCAATTCCTGGAATCCCCAATTTCTGGGATCCCCAATTCCTGGGATCCCCAGTTCCTGGGATCCCCAATTCCTGGGATCCAATCCTGGAAGCAAAGCCTGGGAGAATCCCATCCCATTTTTGGGGATCCTGGCACGTTCCCTTCCATGGATTCCTCTGGAATTCCTCCCCTGGAGCAGGAACCTGCTCGTTTCCCAGGGAAAATGGATTCCCAGGGAATTCCAAACCCTGGATCAGCTCTGGGAGCAAATCCAGAATCACCTCATGGAATTTTTCCTGGGAACATTCCTGCTGGGAATCTGATTTTTCCTTGGATTCCTTGGCCCCCCTGAGCATTCCCAAATCCTTCCCTGGAGGAGCTGAATTCCCTCCAGGATCCCTTCCCTGAGGCAGGCAAAGCTTTTCCTGCTTTTCCAGAGCTGCTTTTCCATGGAATTTCCCCTCCAGGAAAAGCTCCGGGGCTTTCCACACCTGGAAGCAAAAACTGCTCTGGAATTTTCCCCTGGAATTTTCCCCTGGAATTTTTTTCCCCTGGAATTTTCCCCTGGAATTTTCCCCTGGAATTTTCCTCTGGAATTTTTTTCCCCTGGAATTTTCCCCTGGAATTTTCCCCTGGAATTTTCCTCTGGAATTTTTTTCCCCTGGAATTTTCCCCTGGAATTTTCCCCTGGAATTTTCCTCTGGAATTTTTTTCCCCTGGAATTTTCCTCTGGAATTTTCCCCTGGAATTTTCCTCTGGAATTTTTTTCCCCTGGAATTTTCCCCTGGAATTTTCCCTGGGCAGTGGGGCGCTGCTGTGGCTGCTCCCAGAGCTGGTTTTTTCCAAGGGGATAATTGGGATAATTGGGATAATTGCACTGATTGGATGTGGCAGGCTCTGCTGGAGCCAGGCAGGGATTCCTGGTTCCTGCTGGGATTTGGGATGGGCTTAACCCCTTCCTGCCTGGGCAGGGTCTGCTGGGCCACGAAAAGCCAAATTCCCAAAAAGCTGCCCCAAAATCTGCCCAAGTGACCCCAAACCTGCCCGGGGACCCCTCCAGGACCCCAAAATCTGCCGCAGTGACCCCAAAACCAGCCTGGGGACCCTTCCAGGACCCCAAAATCTGCCCCAGTGACCCCAAACCTGCCCGGGGACCCCTCCAGGACCCCAAAATCTGCCCCAGTGACCCCAAACCTGCCCGGGGACCCCTCCAGGACCCCAAAATCTGCCCCAGTGACCCCAAACCTGCCCGGGGACCCCTCCAGGACCCCAAAATCTGCCCCAGTGACCCCAAACCTGCCCGGGGACCCCTCCAGGACCCCAAAATCTGCCCCAGTGACCCCAAACCTGCCCGGGGACCCCTCCAGGACCCCAAAATCTGCCCCAGTGACCCCAAACCTGCCCGGGGACCCCTCCAGGACCCCAAAATCTGCCCCAGTGACCCCAAAATCTGCCCCAGTCACCCCAAACCAACCTGGGGACCCCTCCAGGACCCCAACATCTGCCTGGGGACCCCCAGAGCTGCCCATTCCCCTCCCCAGTGTCCCCAGCTGGGCACAGCTGCCTCCAGCTGCCCTCTACTCCTCCTCCTCCTCCTCTTCCTCCAGCTGTAACCCGTGCTGTGGCAGCCCAGGGACGCTCCCTGCCCCCCCTGGCTGTCCCTCCCCACCCCCCCGGGGCTGTTTGCTCTCCCTGGCCCCTCGTTTGAAGGCTCCATTAATCACGGTGTTAATTAAACAGCCAGGCCCCCACTGGGGAGGAGCCCCTGGGTTGTGTCAGCCTGGCAGAAATGAAGGAATTCAGGGAATTCTCCCCCTCCTGTCTGTGCTGGTGACATTTTCCCAGCCCTGGGAGGGGGGGTGGGGGTTCATTCCAGGTTTTTTCCAGGGTTTTCCCTGTGCATCTGAGGGGAGGAGCTGCCAGGGAATGGGATTGGGATTTTCTGGAGCTTTTCCAGCTGCTCAGCCAAGGATGAATCCCACAGATCCTGCCAGGAATGACCCCCCCCCACACAAAGCTCTCCCTGCTGGGTTGTTTTCCCCCCAAATCCGTGGATTTTCCCATCCTTTCCAGCTCAGGGAAGTGTTTCCCACTCTGCTTTTCCCTCTTTTCCCCCCAGTGCTACCGGGACCTGGCGCTGGTGAGCCGGGACGGGATGAACATCGTGCTCAACAAGATCAACCACATCCTCATGGAGAAGTACCTGAAGCTGCAGGACACCTGCAGGACCCAGGTCAGGGCTCCCTGGGATCCCCTGTCCCACCTGGAATCTTGTGTCCTACCCAGAATCCCCTGTCCCACCCAAAGTCCCCTGTCCCACCTGGAATCTCCTGTCCCACCTGGAATCTTGTGTCCCACCCAAAATCTCCTGTCCCACCCAAAATCCCCTGTCCCACCTGGAATCTCCTGTCCCACCTGAGGGCTCCCTGGGATCCCCTGTCCCACCTGGAATCTTGTGTCCTACCCAAAATCCCCTGTCCCACCCAAAATCCCCTGTCCCACCTGGAATCTCCTGTCCCACCTGGGCTCTCCTGTCCCACCTGGAATCTCCTATCCCTCCTGGGATCCCTTGTCCTACCCAAAATTTCCTGTCCCACCTAGAATCCCCTGTCCCACCCAAAATCCCCTGTCCCACCCATAATCTCCTGTCCCAGCTGGGATCCCCTGTCCCACCTGGAATCTTGTGTCCTACCCAAAATCTCCTGTCCCACCCAAAATCCCCTGTCCCACCTGGAATCTTGTGTCCTACCCAGAATCCCCTGTCCCACCCAAAATCTCCTGTCCCTCCTGGGATCCCTTGACCCACCTGGAATCTCCTGTCCCACCCAAAATCCCCTGTCCCACCTGGAATCTTGTGTCCTACCCAAAATCCCCTGTCCCACCTGGGCTCTTCTGTCCCTCCTGGACTGTCCTGTCCCACCCAAAATCTGCTGTCCCACCTGGGATCTCCTGTCACACCCGGAATCTCCTGTCCCACCTGGAATCTTGTGTCCCACCCAAAATCTCATGTTCTACCCAAAATCCCCTGTCCCACCTGGAATCTCCTATCCCTCCTGGGATCTCCTGTCCCACCCAAAATCTCCTGTCCCACCCAGAATCCCCTGTCCCACCTGGGCTCCCCTGTCCCTTCTGGATCCCCTGTCCCACCCAAAGTCCCCTGTCCCACCTGGAATCTCCTGTCCCACCTGGGCTCTCCTGTCACACCCGGAATCTCCTGTACCACCTGGAATCTTGTGTCCCACCCAAAATCTCCTGTCCCACCTGGGCTCCCCTGTCCCTCCTGGGATCTCCTGTCCCACCCAAAATCTCCTGTCCCACCTGGACTTTCCTGTCCCACCCAAAATCTCCTGTCCCACCTGGAGTTTCTTGTCCCACCTGGACTCTCCCGTTCCCCCTGGCAGGGGATGAGCAGAGGGGAGCAGGGGGGGCTTGGAGGGAGGGGTGGGATGGGGTCATGGGGGGCTCTGATCCCAAATTTCCGTGTGCAGCTGGTGTGGGGAGGGGTCTCATCCCAAATTTCCGTGTGCAGCTGGTGTGGGGAGGGGTCTCATCCCAAATTTCCGTGTGCAGCTGGTGTGGGGGGCTGCTCCATCCAAATCCAAATCCCTCTGCTCCATCCAAATCCCTCTGCTCCATCCAAATCCCTCTGCTCCATCCAAATCCAAACCCCTCTGCTCCATCCAAATCCCAATCCCTCTGCTCCTTCCAAACCCCTCTGCTCCATCCAAATCCAAATCCCTCTGCTCCATCCCAATCCCACTGCTCCATCCCAACCCCCTCCTGCTCCATCCCAACCCCCCCCGCTCCATCCCAACCCCCTCCTGCTCCATCCCAACCCCCCTGCTCCATCCCAACCCTCCATCCAGCTGTTTTCCCCCCGCTTTTCCAGGTGGGGACGTGACTGCCAAGAACATCTGGCTGGCCGAGAACGTTCTGGAGATCCTGACAGAGCAAAGGTACCCCCGGGAATCCCCCCCCAGCCTCATTCCTACCCTCCCCACATTCCCAAAGCAGGGATTCCCAGCAGGCTGAAGGTGCCCAGGCCCCCAAATCCTGGAGCAGGGCTGAGGAGCAGGCGTGGCTGGGGCCCAGCATCCCGGGAATGTTTCCTTCCTGAGCAGTGGGGGAGGTTTTCCTTTGGGAGCAGTGGCCTGGAGTTGATTGCCCGGAAAGTTTCCTGTGTTTGGGCAGCTCCTGCTCCAGGCTGGGCCATCTGGGAAGCTCATCCCGGCCTCAGCATTGTCCTGGAGCCGCAGAATTCCTGGCTTCAGGATTCCCCAGGCAGGGCTGGGAATTGCTTTGCTGCAGGCTCCCTAAAATTCCCTAGGAATTCCCTAAAATCCGGGATTGCCCCGTGTGCCGTGGAGCTGCTCCAGCCTTTGTCCAGCTGGATTTGTCCTGGGGTTGTTGTTCCTGGGATCCAGAGCCAGCAGGAGCCACCTGAGCTGGATTTTCCAGTGTTTATCAATTTTATGTCCGTCACCAATGGATTTATCAATTAATATCTGTATCATTTAATATCTGTATCATTTAATGTCTGTATCATTTAATGTCTTTATTTATTATCTTTATTATTTATTCTCTTTATTTATCAACACATGCCTTTATTTATTAATATGTGTTTATTAATTCATGTTAATTAATGATACAGTTATTAATTGACATCTTAACTGATGCCCTGGCTGATGGTCCCAGGTGACACCAACCCCATCCCCCCTTTGCTGCTGGCCCATTCCTGGTGTTCCCTTCCCACACCCCAATCCCACAAAGATGTAATTTAATATCTTTATTATTTATTATCTTTATTAATTAACACACTCCCCAATTAATACATTAATTAATTAATGAATTACCTTTACTGATGCCCTGGCTGATGGTCCCAGGTGACACCAACCCCATCCCCCCTTTGCCTCTGCCCCATTCCCGGTGTTCCCTCCCCTCAATCCCACAAAGATGTCATTTAATGTCTTTATAATTTATTAATTGACACATTCCCCAATTAATACATTAATTTATTTATTAACTAATCATTTAATCACCTTTACTGATGCCCTGGGCAATGGTCCCAGGTGACACCAACCCCGTCCCCCCTTTGCCTCTGCCCCATTCCCGGTGTTCCCACAGCCCAGTCTCACTAAGATATCATTTAATATATTTCTAACTTATTAATTAACACATCCCCCAATTAATACATGTATTAATTAATAAATTAATTAATTTATTTATTATTTCATCACCTGTGCTGCTGCCCTGGGTGATGGCTGCAGCCCCCCTTTGCCTCTGCCCCATTCCCGGCGCTCCCTCCCCGTGCCCCGATCCCCCGGCATTCCCTGGGGTCCCCTCCCCCCCCCCGGGCTGTGCTGCCCATTCCCGGTGTTCCCTCAATCCCACAAAGATATAATTTAATATCTTTATAATTTATTAATTGACACATTCCCCAATTAACACATTAATTAATAATTTAATTAATCAACTCTGCTGCGGCCCTGGGGGTCGGTTGCAGCCCCCTCGTTGCCTCTGCCCCATTCCCGGTGTTCCCTCAATCCCACGAAGATATAATTTAATATCTTTATTAATTAACACATCCCCCAATTAACACATTTACTAATAAATAAATCAATTAATAATTTAATTCATCACCTCGTGCTGATTTGGGGTGAATTTGGGGGGATTTGGGGCTTTCCAGGGAGTGGGTGCTGAAGAGCAGCCTGCTGGTGGCCATGGCCGTGTACACCTACCTGCGCCTCATCGTGGACCACCACGGCACGGCCGCGCTGCAGGCGCTGCGCCAGAAGGAGGGGGTGATGGCTGCAGCCCCCTCGTTGCCTCTGCCCCATTCCCGGTGTTCCCACAGCCCAGTCTCACAAAGATATCATTTAATATCTTTATAGTTTATTAATTAACACGTCCCCCAATTAATGCATTTACTAATAAATAAATTAATTAATAATTTAATTAATCACCTGTGCTCCTGCCCTGGGTGATGGTTGCAGCCCCCCTTTGCCTCTGCCCCATTCCCGGCGCTCCCTCCCCGTGCCCGATCTTCAGTGGGAATGGGATTGGGATTGGCATTGGGAATGGGATTGGGAATGGGGTCAGGGATCGTCAGTGGGAATGGGATTGGGAATGGGAATGGGATTGGGAATGGGATTGGGATTGGGAATGGGATTGGGAATGGGATTGGGATTGGGAATGGGATTGGGAATGGGATTGGGTTTGGGAATGGGATTGGATGGGATTGGGAATGGGATTGGAGTTCTGCGTGTCCCTGCTCAGGGAGAGGGTGAGTGGGATTGGATTGGGATTGGGATTGGGATTGGGATCGGATTGGGAGTGGGATCCTGCATCTCCCTGCTCCAGGAGCAGGCAGTGGGTTGGGGTGGGATCCTGTTCCCTGGGACGGGCAGTTTGGGGTGGGGGCACTCCAGGCCTCATTTGGCTCTGGATGGAGCAGGACCCCCCAGAGCCGGGATTTCCCAAATCCCAGAGCCGGGATTTCTCCCAAATCCCAGAGCCGGGATTTCCCAAATCCCAGAGCCGGGATTTCCCAAATCCTCCCTGCCCATCCTCCCCCAGCTCCCAGGGCCGGCCCGCGGGGGCCGGCTGCAATCCTGGGGGAAAAGTGGCAGATTTATGGGCTGAGTGTTTGCTTTGGGAGGGAGAACATTCCAGAACAGCTGCCGACCCTCCCTGCCCGTGCCCCCATCCCAAGCTGCGCCTTCCAGCGGGGTGGGATGCCAGGGAATGGGGTGGGATGGCAGGGATGGGGTGGGATGCCAGGAATGGGGTGGGATGCCCGGGAATGGGGTGGGATGCCAGGGATGGGGTGGGATGCCAGGGATGGGGTGGGATGCCAGGGATGGGGTGGGATGCCAGGGAATGGGGCAGGACATGCCCAGGGTGGGGGAGCCGGGGTTCCTCCCTGCCCCACCCCCACCTCCTGCTCCCAGCGGGACTTTTCCCCCCTTTTCCCAGTTCTTGGATTGTTTCGTGGATTTTTTCTTGGGATTTTTCCTTCCCTTTTTCCCAGTTGATGGATTGTTTCAGTGACTGTTTCATGGGATTTTTCCCTCTTTTCTGAGTTCAGTGACTGTTTCATGGCATTTCCCTCTTTTTCCCAGCAGTTCATGGACTGTTTCATGGATCATTTCATGGGATTTTCCCTTCCTTTCCCCAGTTCATGGATCATTTCATGGATCATTTAACAGGATTTTCCCTCTTTCCCAGTTCATGGACTGTTTCATGATCGGCCGGGACCTGGTGCGCTTGCTGCAGAACGTGGCGCGGATCCCGGAGTTCGAGCAGCTCTGGAAGGACATCCTGCACAACCCGCAGGTGCTCAGCTCCCAGTTCACAGGTACCAGCCTGGAGCATTCCCTCTGCTCTCCCAGCACCCTTTTCCAGGGGTTTTCCAGTGCTTCAGAGGCATCCAGGCCTGCCTCATCCCAGAAAACCCCCGTGGGATCCTTAAGCGGTGCTGCTCCTTCTGGGCTCTGCGCTTCCGTGGTTTCTCCTGCCTGGAATTGTTCCAAGCTGGGTTGGAACAGTCTGATCCGGTGGGAATTGTCCCTGCTCGTGGACTGGGTGATCTCTGGGTGATTCCAGCCCAAAGCAGTCTGCAATTGCAGGATAATCAGAGTTATTTCCCTTAATTAAGTGATTTAAAAGGTGAGCCCGAGCTCTGACGTGACTGAGCAGAGCCTGGAGAGGCTCCAGGAATTCCAGGAGCTGCAGTAAGTGGCACTTCCCTGGGATTTAATTCCTCCCAGTAGCCTCATTCCATGGGAAGAGTGATGGATTCACCAGCTTTGTTGACATTAATGATATTCCCATAAATTGTTCCCTTCTCTGGGCACTTCCCCAGCAGGTTCTGGATGCAGCAATTCCAGGGAAATGTGGCTTTGAAGTGTTCCCACCCCTCTGGATCCTGGTTAAATCCATCCTAAGCAGCTCAGATGTTGCTCAGGGAATTCCTCAGGACGTGTTTGAGCCCTTTTCCACCCAAATTCCCATTCCCTGCCCAGGTGTGCTGCAGCTCCTGCAGTCCAGGACCTCCCGCAAGTTCCTGGCGTGCCGCCTCACCCCGGACATGGAGACCAAGCTGCTCTTCATGACCTCACGGGTAATCCCCTGGTGTCCAAAATCCCCTGGTGCCCAAATTCCACCTGGGTTCCCAAATTCCACCTGGATTCCCAAATTCCACCTGGGTTCCCTCAAAAATTCCACCTGGGTTCCCTCAAAAATCCCCCCTGGATTCCCAAATTCCGCCTGGATTCCTTCCCAAATCCCCCCTGGATTCCCAAATTCCACCTGGGTTCCCTCCCAAATTCCACCTGGATTCCCAAATTCCACCTGGGTTCCCTCCCAAATTCCACCTGGGTGCCCAAATTCCCCTGGATTGCCAAATCCCCCCGGGATTCCCAAATTCCACCTGGGTTCCTTCCCAAATCCCATCTGGGTTCCCTCAAAAATCTCCCCTGGATTCCCAAATTCCACCTGGGTTCCCTCCCAAATCCCCCCTGGGTTCCAAAAATCCCCCTGGGTTCCCTCCCAAATTCCTGGTGCCTTCCATCTCAAATTCCCCATGGATTCCTTCCCAAATTCCCAATGGGTTCCATCCCAAATTCCCCCTAGCTCAGGGTCCTGTGTGTCCCCACTGCCAGCCGTGTCCCATATCCCTGTCCCTGTCCCCAGCCCTGTCCCCAGCTGTGTCCCATGTCCCTGTCCCCAGCCGTGTCCCCAGCCATGTTCCATATCCCCAGCCCTGTCCCTGTCCCCAGCCATGCCCCATGTCCCCAGGCGTGTCTCATGTCCCTGTCCCATGTCCCTGTCCCTGTCCCCAGGTGCGCTTTGGGCAGCAGAAGCGTTACCAGGACTGGTTCCAGCGGCAGTACCTGTCCACCCCTGACAGCCAGTCCCTGCGCTGTGACCTGATCCGCTACATCTGCGGCGTGGTGCACCCGTCCAACGAGGTGCTGAGCTCTGACATCCTGCCCCGCTGGGCCATCATCGGCTGGCTGCTCACCACCTGCACGGTCAGAGCCCGCACGGGCAGGGCTGGGCTGGGGGAGCCTGAAAATGGGGAAAGGGTGGGCTGGGGGAGCCCAAAATGGGGAGGGCTGGGGCTGGGGGAGCATGAAATGGGGAAAGGGTGGGCTGGAGGAGCCCAAAATGGGGAAAGGGTGGGCTGGGGGAGCATGAAAATGGGCATGGGATGGGCTGGGGGAGCCCGAAAATGGGGAAAGGGTGGGCTAGGGAAGCCTGAAACAGGTACAGGATGGACTGGGAGAGCCAAAAATGGGGAAAGGGTGGGCTAGGGGAGCCCAAAATGGGCAAGGATGGGCTGGGGGAGCCTGAAAATGGGGAAAGGCTGGGCTGGGGGAGCCTGAAAATGGGCATGGGATGTGCTGGGGGAGCCCAAAATGGGCAAGGGTGGGCTGGGGGAGCATGAAATGGGGAAAGGGTGGGCTGGGAGAGCCCAAAGTGGTGGATGGGATGGGCTGGGAATGGGAACATCTCAAAAACAGGAGCAGGAACATCCCAAAAATGGGGCACGGGATGGGCTGGGAGCAGCTGATCCCAAGAGGGGAAAGAGCAGCACGTTAGGGATGTGAAGAGGGAGGATTTTGGGGGAAGAGCAGCACCTTAGGGATGTGAAGAGGGAGGATTTGGGGGAAGAGCAGCACCTTAGGGATGTGAAGAGGGAGGATTTTGGGGGAAGAGCAGCACCTTAGGGATGTGAAGAGGGAGGATTTTGGGTGAGTCTTGGAGGTTTCCCAACACTGGGTTTGGTCACGGGGGGATCTCAGGGGGCTCTTGGAGGGATCTCAAGGAATCTTGAGGGGTCTCAGCGTTGTCTCCGTGGGGTAATTTGGGTTTTTTTGGTCTCCCGCAGTCGAACGTCGCTGCTTCCAACGCCAAGCTGGCGCTGTTCTACGACTGGCTCTTCTTCAACCCCGAGAAGGACAGCATCATGAACATCGGTGAGGAGGGGGCCCGGGGGGACCTGTCCGGGGTGGGATCCATGGGGTGGGACCTGCCTTGGGATGGGATCCATGGGGTGGGACCTGCCTTGGGGTGGGATCCTGGGATGGGATCCATGGGATGGGATCTGCCCAGGGGTGGGATCCTGGGGGGGACCTGCCTGGGAATGGGATCCATGGGGTGGGATCTGCCTTGGATGGAATCCTGGGCTGGGATCCACCTTGGGATGGGATCCTGGGCTGTTCCTGGGGTGGGAACCATGAGGATTCACTTTGGGATGGGATCCTGGGGTGGGATCCCTGGGGATCTGCCTTGGTTTGGCGTCCTGGGCTGTTCCTGGATGGGATCCTGGCAGTTCCTGGGGTGGGATCCCTGGGGATCTGCCTTGGTTTGGCGTCCTGGGCTGTTCCTGGATGGGATCCTGGCAGTTCCTGGGGTGGGATCCATGGGGATCTGCCTTGGTTTGGGATCCTGGGATGTTCCTGGGGTGGGATCCATGGGCTGTTCCTGAGATGGGATCCTGGCAGTTCCTGGGGTGGGATCCATGGGGATCTGCCTTGGTTTGGGACCCGTGGGCTGTTCCTGGGGTGGGATATGGGGTCACTGTGACCCAGGGCAGCCCTGGACCCCGCTGCCCCTCAGCCCCTGGATCCCACCCCGTGGATCCAGCCTGTCCCAGCCCCTCGGCAGCCCCCCAGGAGCGGGCCTTGGGGGTCTCTGGGGGCTCACCCCGTTCCCTCCTGCAGAACCTGCCATCCTGGTCATGCACCACTCCATGAAGCCCCACCCGGCCATCACGGCCACGCTGCTGGACTTCATGTGCCGGGTGAGCGCTTCCTGCTCCTGCAATTCCCAGGGCTGGGCAAAGCTGGGAGAGAGCTCCACAAATCCCACCCAAAAAGCTCTTCCCTGGGTTTCCCCCCACTTCCAGAGTCACCTGAACCTCCCTCTTCCCAAATCGAGGAGGGATTTTCCCTTTGCTGCCAAATTATCCCCAGCACTTGGTGGGAAGAATCCAGAGCGTTCCTGGAGTTTTGGGATCCACGTGTCATCCATTGCTGGTGGGAAGGCAGCACTGCCAGCAAACCCTGCCTGTGGTGGAGGAAAAAGCTTCTGGATTGTTCCCTCATGGAATTCCTGGCCCAACCCAGTCCCCGGGGGGGATCAGAGTGTCAGGGAATGATCCAGAGTGATCCCTGTCCCATCCCAGGGTGGAAAAGCTGCTGCTTCCAGGAATTGGGGGGCTGGGGGTGTTTCTGGGAAGGGCCTGGAGCTCCCAGTCCAAAGTGGGGGAAGGTTCCTGGGATGTCCCGGGCTCCAGGGAGGAATCCCAGCCCTCCCTGCAGGAGCCAAGGCTTGGACAGAGCCAAGCACTCGGGGCTCTTCTCCCACAGCCTGGAATTTCCTGCCCCTGGCAGGGATTTTCTCCCACTTGCAGAGCCCCTGACCCTGCTCTCCACCCCTGATCTCTTCCAGATCATTCCCAATTTCTACCCCCCTCTGGAAGCCCACGTCCGCCAGGGCGTCTTCAACTCCCTCACCCACATCGTGGAGAAGCGAGTCCTGGCGTAAGAACCCCGGGGTTTTCCCACGTTTTCCTGAATTTCCAGCATGGACACGGCTGCCCCTGGGTCTCTCCTGGAGCTCTGAGCCCGTGTTGTTCTCCACCAAACCTTGGGAGCAGCCAGCATTGTCCTGGGGGCTGTCCTGGCCAGGGAATTGGGATTTCCCAGGAATTCCAGCCCCTTCTGCCGCTCCTGGTGGCTCAGGAGGGGATCCCAGGGAGCTGCAGGTGACAAAGCCCAGCATTCCCAGAGGGATGAGGCCCCATCCCTGATCCCTGTCCCACCCCACGCAGGCACCTGGCCCCGCTCTTCGACAACCCCAAGCTGGACAAGGAGCTCCGGGCCATGCTCAGGGAGAAATTCCCGGAATTCTGCAGCTCTCCCTCGCCCCCCATCGAAGGTAGGAGATGTGGGGGGCTCCTGGCAGATCCCCCCTGAGGGAGTTTTCCATGGAGGAATTCCCTGGATGGGTCGGGCGAGCCCTCCGGGGTTGGGATTTTACGGAGTGAAACTGGGATTTAGGGAATTGTGGGTGCTCCAGTGCTCCCTGTGCCCCGGGGGATCCCTTCCCAAAGCACCTGCGGCCCTTTCCCGGGGCTGTTTTTTTGGGAGAGGCCTCACCTGGCTGGGTGCTCGGTGCCAGTGAAAATCGAGGAGCCGGTTCCCATGGAGATGGAGAATCACCTGGAGAAGGATGACGGTTGCTATGACAACGCCGAGGCCGCCTTCAGCGACGATGAGGAGGAGCTGAACAGCAAAGGTGAGGGAGGGAGCTCCTGGAATTCCCCAGGGACACCCAGATCCCACCGGGCTGCAGAATTCCCTCGGAGCTCCTCGGCCAGGAGCTGATCCCGCCTTTCCTCCTGCTCTGGAGGAGCAGATTCCCAAATCCGCTGGTTCTGGAGCTGTGCCCAAAGGGGTTGTTCCCTTTCCTGGCTGTTCCCAGGAGCTCAGAGCACTTTTCCAGCCCCAAATCCCCTCTGCTCCCCCTCTGGAGCCATTCCCAGCCTCGCTGGTCGGATCCTTGTGGGATTCCCGCTGTTCTAGGAGGGTTTCCCAGCAGTGGGATGTGGCCTGGGAGCCCCAGAATCCCAATCCCAAATTGTGCCTCCTTGGAGACGCCTTGGCAATGTTGGAGGCTCGGTTTTGGGCACGGGGACTGAGCAGGGACCACAATCCCAGACATTCCCACCTTTATCCTGAATCCCTGGAGCCTCCAGGGGGGGAAGGATCCAGGACAGGGATTGCTGGGAAGGAGGAAAACCCCTCGTTGCCTGGTTTCAGGGAAGAAGAGGGAGTTCAGGTTCCATCCCATCAAGGAATCCATCGTGGAGGAGCCCGTGGACATCACCCCCTTCCTGGAGCAGCTGGACGAGTCCCTGAAGGACAAAGTGCTGCAGCTGCAGAAGGGCAGGTGGGGCCATTCCCAATCCCAACCCCATTCCCAAGGGTCTCTCCAGGCCTCCCAGAACTCCTTCAGCCCCGTGGAGAGGGAATTCCTGCAGGGAGAGGGCTTGGGAAGGAGAGCCTTGGAGCTCCGAGCGCCCGGGGGAGGCTCAGCGAGTCCATGGAATTCCTGGCTCTGAGTTCCCTCCAAATCCTGATTTTAACCCTGGAATTCATCCCCCCGACACCCGCCCACCTGGGCCGACCCCGACCCCGTCCCCAGCTGCCCCTCCCGGTGCTCCCAGTGCTCCCAGTAACGGGATTCCCTGTCCCTGTGCCCTGCAGCGACACGGAGGCGCAGTGCGAGGTCATGCAGGAAATCGTGGATCAGGTCCTGGAGGTAACGGGGCGGGATCTGGGATCTGTCCTGGATGGGGTCTAAGATCTGTCCTGGATGGGGTCTGGGATCCATCATGGGTGGGATCTGGGATTTGTTCTGGTTGGGGTGTGGGATCTGTCCTGGCTGGGATCTGGGATCCATAATGGGTGGGATCTGGGATCTGTCCTGTCTTGGGATCTGGGATCTGTCCTGTCTGGGATCTGGGATCCACCAGGCGGGATCTGAAATTCATTCCGGCTGGGATTTGGGGTCCATCCTGAACAGGATTTGGTATCTGTCCTGTGTGGGATCTGGGATCCATCATGGCTGGGATCTGGGATCTGTCCTGGAAGGATCTGGGATCTGTCCTGGCTGGGATCTGTCTGTGGGATCTGGATCTGTCCTGGCTGGGATCTGGGATTTGTCCTGGCTGGGATCTGGGATCCATCATGGCTGGGATCTGGGATCTGTCCTGGATGGGGTCTGGGATCCATCGTGGGTGGGATCTGGGATCCATAATGGGTGGGATCTGGGATCTGTCCTGGACAGGATTTGGGATACATCGTGGGCGGGATTCAGGATCCATCCTGGCTGGGATTTGGGATCCCTGGCTCTGGAAACCCATCCGGAGCCGGCTGGGATCTGTTTTCGTGTCCCCTCCTGTGCCAGGCAGGCCCTGAGCCCCCCGTGTCCCCCTGTGTCCCCCCCGTGTCCCCCCGTGTCCGGCGGGCCCTGAGCCCCTCGCTGCCCTTCCCAGGAGGATTTTGACTCGGAGCAGCTCTCGGTGCTCGCCTCGTGCCTGCAGGAGCTGTTCAAGGCTCACTTCCGCGGGGAGGTCCTGCCCGAGGAGATCACGGAGGAGTAAGGAAGGGCTGGGCACCCCCTCCCCTCAGCTGGGCCTTTCCCTGGGATATTCCCAGCTTTGGAAGAGGTTTCCATGGGGAATTCCTGCTGGGCTCACCCAGACCGGCTCCTTCTCCGGGGTTTCCTTGGAGCTGAAGCTGCTGCGGGATCGTTCCTGCCTCCCCAGCAGGGTCCGGGGCTGTTCCCATTCCTGGGAAATCCCAGCGGGGTCCGGGGCTGTTCCATTCCTGGGAAAACCCAGAGGGATCCAGGGCTGTTCCCATTCCTGGGAAATCCTGGAGGGGCTGTTCCCATTCCTGGGAAATCCCAGAGGGATCCAGGGCTGTTCCTATTCCTGGGAAAACCCAGCAGGGTCCAGGGCTGTTCCCATGCCATTCTTGGAATAACTTGGAGGGATCCAGGGAGTTCCCAGGGCTGTTCCCGTGCCATTCCTGGGATGACTTGGAGGGATCCAGGGAGTTCCCAGGGCTGTTCCCATGCCATTCCCAGGAAAGCCCTGGCCGTGGCTGCTCCGGCGGCTCAGCGTGTCCGTCTGTCCCCAGGTCCCTGGAGGAGTCCGTGGGGAAGCCCCTGTACCTGATATTCCGGTAGGTCCTTCCCGAATCCTGGGGAATTCCGGGCCTGCCTGCTTCATCCCGGAACCCCCAGCGGTTTCCCGCTGCCCTCTGGAATGGGAATCCGGGGCTTTCTGGGGTTCGGGATCCCGCCGACATTCCCGCTTTTGCCAGGAACCTGTGCCAGATGCAGGAGGACAACAGCGGCTTCTCGCTGCTGCTGGACCTGCTCTCCGAGCTCTACCAGAAGCAGCCCAAGATCGGCTACCACCTGCTCTACTACCTGAGAGCCAGGTGAGCCCGGGCCCCGCCCTCCCGGGGCTCCGCCCATGAGCCTGGCCCCACCCTCCGGGGGCTCCTCCCACGAGCCCGGGCCCCGCCCTCCTGTGGCTCCTCCCTCTCTCCTGTGACTCCTCCCTCTCCTGGCCCCGCCCTGCTGTGGCTCCTCCCTCTCACCCTCTTCTCACCTGGTTCCCACCCTCACCTTGGCCCCGCCCTCCTACCTGGGCCCCTCCCCTGCCCGTGCCTGTCCCTGTCCCCGGTGGTGGCGTGTGCCAGCTGTGCCAGGTGTGCCAGGTGTGCCAGGTGCCAGCTGTGTGCCAGGTGTGTGCCTGCAGTGCCAGCTGTGTGCCAGGTGTGCCAGCTGTGTCATGTGTGTGGCAGGTGCCAGCTGTGCCAGCTGTGCCAGCTGTGTGCCAGGTGTGCCAGGTGCCAGCTGTGTGCCAGGTGTGTGCCTGCAGTGCCAGCTGTGTGCCAGGTGTGCCAGCTGTGTCATGTGTGTGGCAGGTGCCAGCTGTGCCAGCTGTGCCAGCTGTGTGCCAGGTGTGCCAGGTGCCAGCTGTGTGGCAGGTGTGTGGCAGGTGTACCAGGTGTGTGCGAGCTGTGCCAGGGGTGTGCCAGCTGTGTGCCAGGTGTGTGTCAGTGGTACCAGCTGTGTGCCAGCTGTGCCAGGCGTGTGCCAGCTGTGTGCCAGGTGCCAGCTGTGCCAGCGGTGGCAGCTGTGCCAGCGGTGGCAGCTGTGGCAGGTGCCAGCGTGGCTGTGTCCCCAGCAAGGCGGCGCTGGGCAGGATGGGGCTCTACGAGTCGTTCGCCCAGGCCACGCAGCTGGGGGAGCTGCACACGTGCCTGATGATGGACATGAAGGCGTGCCAGGAGGACGACGTGCGCCTGCTCTGCTTCCTCACGCCCTCCATCTACACCGAGGTGAGCCCAAAATCCTGGCCCAGGGGTGCCCAAAATCCTGGCCCAGCTGTGCCCAAAATCCTGGCCCAGCTGTGCCCAAAATCCCGTGCCAGGGCTGCCCAAAATCCCATCCCAGGAGTGCCCAAAATCCCGTTCCTGGGGTGCTCAAAATCCTGTCCCAGCTGTGCCCAGAATCCCGTTCCTGGGGTGCCCAAAATCCTGTCCCAGCTGTGCCCAAAATCCTGTCCCAGCTGTGCCCAAAATCCTGGCCCAGCTGTGCCCAAAATCCTGTCCCAGCTGTGCCCAAAATCCTGGCCCAGGGCTGCCCAAAATCCTGTCCCAGGGGTGTCCAAAATCCTGGCCCAGCTGTGCCCAAAATCCTGGCCCAGGGGTGCCCAAAATCCTGTCCCAGGGCTGCCCAAAATCCTGTCCTAGCTCTGCCCAAAATCCTGCCCCAGGGGTGCCCAAAATCCCGTCCCAGGGCTGCCCAAAATCCCATCCCAGCTGTGCCCAAAATCTCGTCCCAGCTGTGCCCAAAATCCTGTCCCAGCTGTGCCCAAAATCCTATTCCTGGGGTGCCCAAAATCCCATTCCTGGGGTGCCCAAAATCCTGTCCTAGCTGTGCCCAAAATCCTGTCCCAGGAGTGCCCAAAATCCCATTCCTGGGGTGCCCAAAATCTCGTCACAGCTGTGCCCAAAATCCTGTCCCAGGGCTGCCCAAAATCCTGTTCCTGGTGTGCCCAAAATCCCATCCTGGGTGTGCCCCAGGTCCCATCCCAGCTGTGCTGCAGCAGAGAATCCCTAAAATTCTCTCTAAATTCAGAGAATCCCTAAAATTCTCTCAAAGTTCAGAAACCTCTGCAGCCATGGAATGTGCAGCTGGATCCCTGCCCATCCTTGGGACCCATCCCAGGGCAGGGTCAGGCTGTCCTGTGCTGATCCCAAATCCCAGGATCCATCCCAGGGCAGGGTCAGGCTGTCCTGTGCTGATCCCAAATCCCAGGATCCATCCCAGGGCAGGGTCAGGCTGTCCTGTGCTGATCCCAAATCCCAGGATCCATCCCAGGGCAGGGTCAGGCTGTCCTGTGCTGATCCCAAATCCCAGGATCCATCCCAGGGCAGGGTCAGGCTGTCCTGTGCTGATCCCAAATCCCAGGATCCATCCCAGGGCAGGGTCAGGCTGTCCTGTGCTGATCCCAAATCCCAGGATCCATCCCAGGGCAGGGTCAGGCTGTCCTGTGCTGATCCCAAATCCCAGGATCCATCCCAGGGCAGGGTCAGGCTGTCCTGTGCTGATCCCAAATCCCAGGATCCATCCCAGGGCAGGGTCAGGCTGTCCTGTGCTGATCCCAAATCCCAGGATCCATCCCAGGGCAGGGTCAGGCTGTCCTGTGCTGATCCCAAATCCCAGGATCCATCCCAGGGCAGGGTCAGGCTGTCCTGTGCTGATCCCAAATCCCAGGATCCATCCCAGGGCAGGGTCAGGCTGTCCTGTGCTGATCCCAAATCCCAGGATCCATCCCAGGGCAGGGTCAGGCTGTCCTGTGCTGATCCCAAATCCCAGGATCCATCCCAGGGCAGGGTCAGGCTGTCCTGTGCTGATCCCAAATCCCAGGATCCATCCCAGGGCAGGGTCAGGCTGTCCTGTGCTGATCCCAAATCCCAGGATCCATCCCAGGGCAGGGTCAGGCTGTCCTGTGCTGATCCCAAATCCCAGGATCCATCCCAGGGCAGGGTCAGGCTGTCCTGTGCTGATCCCAAATCCCAGGATCCATCCCAGGGCAGGGTCAGGCTGTCCTGTGCTGATCCCAAATCCCAGGATCCATCCCAGGGCAGGGTCAGGCTGTCCTGTGCTGATCCCAAATCCCAGGATCCATCCCAGGGCAGGGTCAGGCTGTCCTGTGCTGATCCCAAATCCCAGGATCCATCCCAGGGCAGGGTCAGGCTGTCCTGTGCTGATCCCAAATCCCAGGATCCATCCCAGGGCAGGGTCAGGCTGTCCTGTGCTGATCCCAAATCCCAGGATCCATCCCAGGGCAGGGTCAGGCTGTCCTGTGCTGATCCCAAATCCCAGGATCCATCCCAGGGCAGGGTCAGGCTGTCCTGTGCTGATCCCAAATCCCAGGATCCATCCCAGGGCAGGGTCAGGCTGTCCTGTGCTGATCCCAAATCCCAGGATCCATCCCAGGGCAGGGTCAGGCTGTCCTGTGCTGATCCCAAATCCCAGGATCCATCCCAGGGCAGGGTCAGGCTGTCCTGTGCTGATCCCAAATCCCAGGATCCATCCCAGGGCAGGGTCAGGCTGTCCTGTGCTGATCCCAAATCCCAGGATCCATCCCAGGGCAGGGTCAGGCTGTCCTGTGCTGATCCCAAATCCCAGGATCCATCCCAGGGCAGGGTCAGGCTGTCCTGTGCTGATCCCAAATCCCAGGATCCATCCCAGGGCAGGGTCAGGCTGTCCTGTGCTGATCCCAAATCCCAGGATCCATCCCAGGGCAGGGTCAGGCTGTCCTGTGCTGATCCCAAATCCCAGGATCCATCCCAGGGCAGGGTCAGGCTGTCCTGTGCTGATCCCAAATCCCAGGATCCATCCCAGGGCAGGGTCAGGCTGTCCTGTGCTGATCCCAAATCCCAGGATCCATCCCAGGGCAGGGTCAGGCTGTCCTGTGCTGATCCCAAATCCCAGGATCCATCCCAGGGCAGGGTCAGGCTGTCCTGTGCTGATCCCAAATCCCAGGATCCATCCCAGGGCAGGGTCAGGCTGTCCTGTGCTGATCCCAAATCCCAGGATCCATCCCAGGGCAGGGTCAGGCTGTCCTGTGCTGATCCCAAATCCCAGGATCCATCCCAGGGCAGGGTCAGGCTGTCCTGTGCTGATCCCAAATCCCAGGATCCATCCCAGGGCAGGGTCAGGCTGTCCTGTGCTGATCCCAAATCCCAGGATCCATCCCAGGGCAGGGTCAGGCTGTCCTGTGCTGATCCCAAATCCCAGGATCCATCCCAGGGCAGGGTCAGGCTGTCCTGTGCTGATCCCAAATCCCAGGATCCATCCCAGGGCAGGGTCAGGCTGTCCTGTGCTGATCCCAAATCCCAGGATCCATCCCAGGGCAGGGTCAGGCTGTCCTGTGCTGATCCCAAATCCCAGGATCCATCCCAGGGCAGGGTCAGGCTGTCCTGTGCTGATCCCAAATCCCAGGATCCATCCCAGGGCAGGGTCAGGCTGTCCTGTGCTGATCCCAAATCCCAGGATCCATCCCAGGGCAGGGTCAGGCTGTCCTGTGCTGATCCCAAATCCCAGGATCCATCCCAGGGCAGGGTCAGGCTGTCCTGTGCTGATCCCAAATCCCAGGGCAGGATCCCAATGTCCTGTGCTCATCCCAAATCCCGGGATCCACCCAGGGCAGGGTCAGGCTGTTCCTGTGCTCATCCCAAATCCCAGGATCCATCCCAGGGCAGGGTCAGGCTGTCCCTGTGCTCATCCCAAATCCCAGGGCAGGGTCAGGCTGTCCTGTGCTGATCCCAAATCCCAGGATCCATCCCAGGGCAGGGTCAGGCTGTTTTTCACACTGATCCCAAATCCCGGGATCCATCCCGGGGCACATCCCTCTCCCCCGGAGCCGCCTCCCGGCCCTTGGCTCCGGCTCTGATTGATTTTGTGTTTCCTGCGAGGCCCCGGAGCAGGGAGCAGAGCCAGGAGCAGAGGGAAAAACAGGGAATTCCAGAGCCTCGGCTGAAGGCTGCCCCCCGCTGTCTGCCCGAGCTTGTCCCGGGGGATCCCTGCGGATTTTGGGATTTTGGGATGCCTCTCCCCGGTGTCCCCCCCTGAATCTCTTGGAGCTTTTCCCAGGGAATCCCTGGAATTTTTGGGATTTTGGGATGGCTCTCTCCGGTGTCCCCCCCTGAATCTGCCTGAGCTTTTCCCAGGGAATCCCTGGAATTTTTGGGATTTTGGGATGGCTCTCCTGATTCCCCTGAATCTCAAGAGATTCCCCTGAATCTCTTGGAGCTTTTCCCAGGGAATCCCTGGAGTTTTTGGGATTTTGGGATGGCTCTCCCCGGTGTCCCTCCCTGAATCTGCCTGAGCTTTTCCCAGGGAATCCCTGGGATTTTTTGGGATTTCGGGAGGGCTCTCCCCAGTGTCCCTCCCTGAATTTCTCAGAGCTTTTCCCAGAGAATCCCTGAGATTTTTTGGGATTTTGGGATGGCTCTCCCCGGTGTCCCTCCCTGAATCTGCCTGAGCTTTTCCCAGGGAATCCCTGGAATTTTGGGGATTTTGGGAGGGCTCTCCCTAGTGTCTCTCCCTGAACCTGCCTGAGCTTTTCCCAGGGGATCCCTGCCTGGAGATTTTAGGAGGGCTCTCCCTGGTGTCCCTCCCTGAATCTGCCTGAGCTTTTCCCAGGGAATCCCTGGAATTTTGGGGATTTTGGGAGGGCACTCCCCAGTGTCACTCCCTGAACCTGCCAGATCTTTTCCCGGGGAATCCGGATTTTTTGGGATTTCGGGAGGGCTCTCCCCGGTGTCCCCCCCTGAACCTGCCCGGGTTTTGTGCATTCCCAGTTTCCTGACGAGACCCTGCGGAGCGGGGAGCTGCTGAACATGATCGTGGCTGTCATCGACTCCTTCCAGGTGCGGGGACCCTTCCCAGCCCCTTCCCGACCCTTTCCCGGCAGATTTCACCCCAAAATGAGCCATCCACGGCCTCCACTCCCCATCCTCGCCGGAACGAGCCCCAAATCTCCGCGGCTTTCCTGCCTCGGTGTCCAAAGGTCGATCCCAAGCTTGCAAGGGATCTCCTGCAGAGCCATTTCCTGGGCAATCAGCGCTAATTACCCTAATGAGCCCCTTGCCCGGGGGATCCCGCTGGCTCTGCCTGAGGCTGGGACGTTCCTGGCAGGAATTTTCCCCGCTCCAGAGCGGCTGTGAGAGCCCAGAAATAGGCGCGGGGGCGCCTCTGGAATGCCGGGTCTGGATGTGCCGATAACCCCGGGCCCTCCTGCCCCAATCCCAATCCCGGGAATGCTGCGCCAGCAGCTCCTGGAGGGGGCTGGGAGCCGGGAATGCTCCCAGATCCGGAGGGTTGGGGGCTTCCTTCCCCTCCCTGCTGCCCTTCCTTCCTGAGCTTCTCCAGGTGCTTCCCTGGGGGGATGGAGCCAGAGGATCCTGTGGGGTCTGCAGAGGGGCAGGGAGAAGGAGGATGAGAGGCAGGGTGGGAAGGGGAAGCTCTCCCAAGGGATCCCAGGGGTGGTGCTGGCACTTTTCCTGCTGGATCCCATTTGGGGAGGCTCCTCA